CTCTGCGATTGTGCTTCTAACGTGCAGCAGGTGACACGGGCGAGAAAGGTCCTTGGGCGCTTTGAGTGGAAACAGTGTGAAGGCGCAGCCGGTGCAGAGCGTGCTGCCGCTGGGGACGAGGGGCTGGAGGGGGCTATCACATGTGGCAGGGCTGGGGGGCACCTGGGATCGGGGCTCTGGCAGCAGGGTGCTGCCTGGAGGTGTGCCTTGGGTGCAGGAGGGTGTGAGGTTGCACCAGGAGGCCAGAGGTACCTCTGCGGGGGTTCTGCTCGGGATGCAGGGACGTATCCCAACTGGCGCCAGGTCCTGCCCCACCCGCTGTTGGTGCGGGCGGGTTGCTGAGACCCTGAGCAGCAGCAGCAGCAGCTCCTGATTTCCACGGGCTTTAGCAGCACTGCTGGCTGGAGAGGATCCGTCAGGGCCCTTAGGACCACCAGGCGTCCTGATGCTGTGCTGGAGGTGGCAGTGGCCCCATGCCATACCCATGTTGTTATGGTCAAACACTGAGACCACTACTTCATAAGTCCAATCAAGGGTTTATTTAAAGTGAAGGAGCAAAAGCAGCGCTGGGCGGCCGGGGAGTCGCAGCTCCACCTAGGCGCGCCAGGTCACATCCTTTTGGCCTTTATTTATACAGAGCTAGTTTACATATTTATCATGTTTCACAACTATTACATTAATATTCATCACCCCTTGTTCGTCTCGTATTTAAATTTTCTTCAAGCAGGTGTTCCTCCTCTTGAGCGTGCGCAATGGTGGTCGTTAGGGGTTGTTTTGAAGGAAGGCCGCGGGTCCCTCTTTATCATCTTGAGTAACCTTGCCTGTGGTAGACCACAGGAGGTGGGTCCCTCTTTATCATCTTGAGTAACCTTGGCTGCAGCAGACCACAGGACTGGGCTACGTGGCATATTCACGCCGGACCACAGGGCTGGTTTTAACCGATATTATATCCTTTTTCTAGTATATACATTCCTAGCATATGCAGCCCCGTTCTTCTGCTCCCTCATTCTGATTCAGCAAATTTACCTCAGTTACTTAACACA